TGGGTAATATATTCATCTTGATTGTTGATATTCTCCCTATTAATGATAGTTGTAAATTTTCCCATTTCGCCAAATCTAGCGCTATCTGCTGCTTAAGTTTGATATAATTATTCTCTTTTAGTGTACTACATCTTGCTGTCAAATGTATCCCCAAGTACTTGATCTTATTCCTGACCTGAATTTTCAATAGATCTGCCAATTCTTCCTTTTGTCTTGATAGCATATTCGTTGTCAAGATCTTTGTCTTATCTTTATTTATTTTCAAACCAGCCACCTTTCCATATGTCTCTATCTTTTCTATCAATTTTGATGCTGTTTCTAAAGGGTCTTCTAAAATGAAAACCAGATAATCTGCGAATGCTTGCACAATTAGTCATTGTATTTATTGATCCCTCTAATAAATAACCTGTACAGGTAGGTTGGGCTCTGGGAAAGTGATCACTCCAGAGAGTTTTGTGGTCAATTGGGCATGAATTTAAACTTGGTCCATCTTTAGCCAGCTATGATAGGTGAAAAAAATTGTAAATTGGAGCTAAGGAGCCAGGATTACTGCAAAAATAACAGGTTCCAGTCAAACGAAGTCTGCCTCTTCTTCCTTTTCTTTCTCACACACAAACCCAGCACGGTGCCATGCCTGGCTAAAAATACAGCTCAGGCAGCCAGAAACATAAGGACAATCCAAGGGTGTCCAAAGATACCTTTCAATCGTCCTGAGTTTCTAAGGAGATGAATAAGAGCTGCAATTATTCAGAGAAAGCCATTTATTTAAAGCATTTTGGATGGTGTCGGAAGTTAAAATCCACCCCTCACCTAGGAAAATGAAATACTAAAAAGGCAGAATATTTCCCCTAAAAGAGATGTAGAAACTCAGAGAATCAGAAACTCACTTTGTTAATGGGCCATTAAGGCCTGGGCCAGTCTACTCTACATAACAAAGGTCTGCCTCCTTCAGGCAGACCCATAATAGGAACCCCAAAGCCCTTTCATTACACCATCATCCAGCAAGGCTCAACCAAGCCTGGGATTCAGGACAGCCTATAGAGTTGCCCCTGCATGGCCCCATGGGAATCTGACAACCAATCAGAATACAAGCTCAAATTCAAATCCCAACAGAGGGCATAAAACCCAGGGACTCTCGGCATCTCTTCCCTTTTTCCACAGGATCTCCAAGGCATGTGATCCTGTTCTTCAATAAACCTTCTTTCCAAGCAACTTCCATGAATCCAGTGTCTTTTTCCCCACTTGGAACTGAACCCAGAAGGATATTTCTTCCAACACTTGTTTTAGCTGAGAGCAAGAGACACCTAAAGTAGAAGTATTTAAGGGAGGCTTCGGGCTTTCCAACCCAAACCAAAAAAAAAAAAAATTTGTGGAGAGAAATTCACTAAGCAGAGAAGGATAGCACAGCTCTCATATCAGATAGTTCTCTTCCTTTTCTTGAGGTCATCCTCTACATGTTTGAAAGTCCATCTTTATCCTCCCTGGTAAATGTTCCCATTTTCTTCTTTCCTTTCTTATCACTGGTTATTTTCTATGGTCACCATTGATGCATTAGCAGCAGAGAAGAAGAAGAAAAAACTTCTGCTTTTTACTATACAAACTTTAGGAAATCTACAGAAATTTCATTTTTTTAAAAAAAAATGTAAAACTTTCAGAAGATTCAATTGATATTTTTCGAAGACCCAGATTGTAGCCCCAAAAGAGGAAGGTTCTACTTTATGTAATGAAAAGATCCCCAGATTAAAACTTAATTATAAATTGTCCCTGTGAAAGAGGAGGAGTAGGAGGAAGAGGAAGAGGAGGAGGAGGAGGTGGAGGAGGAGGAGGAGGAAGAAGAGGAAGAGGAGGAGGTGGAGGAGGAGGAGAAAGAGGAGGAGAAATTTAGTATTGTGGTGGATCTCCTGATATGGTTGAACTTTGATTGCCACCACTCCTACTCACAATATCCAATGATGATTAGAGATGAAGCATAATAGGATCGGAAAAGCTTCACATTCCTTGTAGGTTGAAGCAGAAAATATGAGAATGAGGAAAAAAACAAGAACAAAGAAGTCAACATAAGTTTGCCGTTAAGATCTCTTGATAGTAAAGCATTCGTGTCTACTAATTAGCAGTGTAATTTCATTAGGTAAGAATTTATTTTAAAAGTGTTGAGTGAATCCTCATGGTTTTTCTTTGACATACATCAAACAACCTGCATTCCTTAGCAAGCAGGGCAGCTAAATAAACACCGTAAGAGTTTGCTTCCCAGCCTCTCTGTGAAGTCTTTCAGCCTGACATACAAACCCCCGTTCAGATGTTCATTGCCATAGTATTGAATTTGCTCATCCAGATACAATGTCAAAGAATCCCGTTCTTTCCAAGTACATCACATTAGATGTTCATTGGCAGGACCAGATGCTTTCATGTTGGCATCAGCCTGGTGTCTCTCTTGGCTGCCCTGCTGAAGGTGCTGGATGCAACTTCAAAATATGAAAGTTCATTTTCTGTAGGTTCTAAGTGGTCCCTAGTGGGCTGCTGAGCCAAAAAAACCATGTTTTTCCCAGCCATAATGAGCAGCATTTCCATAAACCACATTAGAACAAATTGTTTCAGAAATATGTTGAGGGAATAACAGAGAGAGAAGACAAGATGGTCCTCAGCCCAGTCAAAATGTTCAATGTCCTTTAAAGCTTCCTGCTTTGCGAAGGTGCTTAAGATAAAAATTACCCCATCATGCTTTTAGCTTAGCATTATTCTCCATGTTTATCCATGATTGTTTCATATTTAAAGAACAACAAAATATTGTGTTTTGTCAGCCAAGGACAATAATAGTTTAATAGTAATTTATTTTCCATTGCTACTGATAATACAACCAATCAACACGTTAAGTGGTGCCAGCATTGGCATGTTGCTAAATAAATCTCTAGGCTTTGCACTGCGAATACATCTTTCAAAGATAAGTCAACAAGAGCAATCAGAGCAGAAAATTAGAATTTGGTATGTTAGAATTAAAATACAGCTAAACTAAAGTTTTAATTGGGGTGATCTAAAAGGGCACTTGATGTAATGATCTCTTTCATTTGTTACTAATTGTTTGTTCCTGATGAAGAAGAAACATGTACATGAATGTGTGTCGTTTGGAGGGGGAAAAAAGATGGCAGTTGCCATAGCAGCTCGTTTCTATGATTCAGAAAAGAGGGATCACCCAAAGGAAAGGAAGGTCGCTTGTGAATTTTAACTTCTTTCCTGACACTTCACCACAAGAGATGGGTTTTGTTGGGGCTGTAATACCACTTTTTTTTTTTTTTTAAATCTGACCTTATATTTGAACTGGAGGAATACTCTACTGCAGGGCTGTCAAACTCGATTTCATTGAGGGCCACATCAGGATTGTGTTTGACCACGGAGGGGTGGAAATGGGTGTGGCCATGGTGGCCATGGCCAGTTCAACATCAGTTATGGCACTGTGGTGGCCAAGTGTTAAGGCAGAACTTCCCTGAGACCCTCCCTCACTATTATAATCTCTCTCCCTCCCTCCTTCCTTCCTTCCTTCTTTCCTTCCTTCCTTTTCTTCTTTTTCCTTCCCTCTACATTCTCCCTTTGTTCTTCCTTCCCCTCTTTCCTTATTTTTCCTTCCATGTGCACCTCCCCTCAAGCTCCATTTTCACTGGCAGAAGCACCGCGGGCTGGTCCTTTGCTGATTCCAGACCAGCCCTGTTGGTCAGAACTAAGCACCCTGTGGCCAGATGCAGCCTACGGGCCTTGAGTTTGACATTCCTCCTCTACTACATTTAGTATTCTCCATCTGAGGCAAGACATTTCTTCCTTCTGCTGGAGGCAGAACCCCCCTATTTACCATTTTCTAAAAGAATTGCCCATTTAGTCCCAGATAAAATGGACCAAAGACAAATTCCACGTGCATCCATGTCAAAGGATTAAATTTCCTTTTTCACTATTGGTCTCAATTTGACTACAATAGGCCAGTAGTTTTGGATGACTGTCACAGATACATTCCTTGCACAATCGCAGAAAATGACATAGCTTGGTGAGTTACTTTGTCCGTTGATGTTTTCTATGTGTAATACAGCAAAAAGGGAAGCTTTTCCTTCACACCAGATTACTTAATCAAAGGCTGCAGTTGGTCATGCTTTGCAATCGCACTCTTCATTTCTGAATTCGGACTTTCAGAAAATTCACTGCAAGTTTTGTAAAAAGCAAAAAAAAAAAAAAAAAAAAGGGCTTTTCTGAAGCCACAGTGAAATCCTTAATAAGCAATCGGTCCCACATGGAACTCCTGGAGCTAGTTTTGATTTAAAGTATATCAACAAAGAAGTGTGTGGATTTAGTCTTTGCAAACCTCCAAGTTGTATTTCATGGAGAAGACGTGGCCAGTTGCAAAATGGACGTTTTTCTTTCTTTCTTTCTTTCTTTCTTTCCTTTTTCTTTCTTGTCTTGCTGTTAGATCTTTCCAATGCTATACCTTCTAGGTATAGTATAAAGATGTGTTTCTTCCCTGATTTGGACCTGTACTGATGTCATGCCTTCTACATAATTAAATGTCCTTTTTAAAGTAGAGCATAATTCATCACCTGCTTCCTCTTTCAAATAATCTTTATTTTATAGATGCGGAGCAGTAAACCTGAGCTGAATTCATCCATAATTCAATCAAACAGGTTCATCTACACATGAGAATTGCAGTGCACATAAAGACTTCTAGAATGTCACTTATCCTTTTCCTTTCAAGACTTGATCAAGTTCATCAAACTTAAGTCCCATTGAAACCATCATGAAGTCATGATTAACCCTGCAGTTAATTTAGGCAAGGATAGTTCGTTTGGACTGGCTCTAACTCTTTCTCTTTCGATTATTTTATAGTTGACAAAAGCAAAGGTCTTCTACGCATCTTCAAGACTATGAGAGAGTGACAAGCGACTGAGAAAATTGTCCATAAATAATATAAGTCCCATTCCATTGTTTCCTAGTTCAAAGGCTGATTGTTCATCGTTTTCTTCCATCAGGGGCTCTTGAAAGTTGCCATAGACAATGCACGCGCTCAAGAGAAGCAAGTGCAGCTTGAAAAGACGGAGCTCAAAATGGAACTCTTCAGGGAACGAGAACTGAGAGAAACACTTGAAAAACAGTTAGCAGTAGAGCAGAAGAACAGAGGTAAGAAAAAGAAAATAATGGCCTTGTCTATTACCCTAGTTTTTCCAAGTTGTCTCAAACCATCAAGGTACAATTCTTGCATAGTTTCTGTACTCAAGAGCATTGATGATAGTACTGGATGGGGTGTCAAGTTATTTTTCGTATCTGAATTGAAAGAATACCAGCAAGAACAGATAAGAGATCCTAATATCTCTGGGGATGTCTGTTGTAACTGGAGAGCAAAGTTCCAAGAAGCTATTTGACTCTATTTCTCAACAATTATGAGTCCCAACAACAAGGAGTTTCCTTACTCCTTTTTGTACCACCATTATTCTCTTTTTCACAGTCTCCTTTCCACCACAACTATATGAACAACTAAAAGAAATATGAGAGTTGTTTAAAAAGATATGAATGTATATAAATGAGCAACATTGTGAATGTCACAGTTTGTGAAATGAAGCTACACCCAAAAATTCCATTCAGTCAGAACTGAAGAAGCTTCTTGGATGAGAAGTGAAATATCTTCAAGGAAAAAAGAAAGTCCAGTTGCCTTCTGAAAAAGCATCTTTGGGACAACCATGATCTGGGTGAATGAGAATCTCCATAAACAACCACAGCTTTTACTTTATGGGAGGAATGGAAGAGGCTGAAAGTAGCAAAGAACAGATTGTCCCAAAGATACTTTTTCAAAAGGCAACTAGGCTTTCTTCTTTTTTCCTTGAAGACATTTCACATCTCATCCAAGAAGCTTCTTTGGTTCTGACTGAAAACAGTCTGTGAGATATCTGGAGAACAAACTGGCAGGGGTTGATTCTTTGTTTTATGGATGTGCAGAGTTTTGAAGTTTATTCATGCTTAATATTCTTGGGGCAGTTTCTTTCTTTTTCCAAACCTTCATATCTGCCTTTCTAAAAGTGCTTTTAAATACGGGAGGGGATTGTGATACCTGGGTGTAGTCGTTGAGTTCCACAATCCCAACTTTGACCTGATGTTAGGGTATCCACTAGGAAGTGGCAGAGATCAACCAGGTGGCGGTTCATTTTTTACATGGAGCCCTGCAAAACCTGCCCTTGGAATTAATCTCTGCTCACTGCTTAAACTGCAGATGCATAAATGGAAAGACAGCACGCTAAACGTTGCCATAGCGATGCTCACGGGGCCTAAATAAATAAATAAAATGTTAGAGACAAGGTCTTGTAGTTGAACTTGAATGGATTTTGTTTTGTTTTTTGTCCCCCCCCCCACACACACACATAACAGCAATAATTCAGAAAAGATTAAAGAAGGAAAAGAAGGCGAAGAGGAAATTGCAGGAAGCGCTTGAATTTGAAACAAAGCGGCGAGAACAAGCGGAGCAAGCGCTAAAACAAGCCGCTTCCACCGATAACCTCAGGGTCCTAAATGGTAAGATGGTGAACTTCTCCGTCTGGCTGATGCTGGGATCAAATGGTTTTATTGAAAGCATCACAACTGCTTTAAGTGCAAGGAAAAAAAACAAACCACAGGCCTCTTTGGGGAAATAACACTTTTTATCCCTTGCTGATTGGATGTTTACATCTAAAACTGGAAGCTTTTAAGAAATTGGATGGTCATTTTTATGAATGGTACAGAGCAGAGGTGTCAAACTTGATTTCATTGAGGGCTGCATCAGGGTTGTGTTTGACCTTGGGGGAATGGGGTGGTGGTGGCCAGGGGGAGTGGCCAGCTCAATGTCACTCATCAAGGCTCCGTTTTGGCCACAACAGCCTCCTGCAGCCCTCTGCCTATGAAAATGGAGCTTGGGGAGGTCCACCTGGGTTCCATTTTTGGCCATAACAGCCTCCTACAGCCCTCTGCCAGTGAAAACAGAGCTCAGGGAGGCTGTGTTCCCTCCCAAGCTCTGTTTTTGCTGGCAGAGGCACTACGGGCCAGTCCTTCATTGTTTTCAGAATGGGCCTGTGGATTAGATCTAAGCCTCCCGTGGGCTGGATCCAGCCTACAGACCTTGAGTTTGACACCCCTGGTATAGGGTTTTCACGCTTGAGCAGGGGGTTATTCTGTTAAAAGGAAGAAGTCTAAAAAAAATTAGAGTTTTATTAAATTATCAGCTTGGCCATGTCCGCCCTCTCTCCCTGCTCTCATGATTCCTTCCCATCGATCTTGCTCGTCACAAAATTATGGTGCTGGCCCCCATTTTTGTTCAACATTCAACATGGAGGCAAAGGTTGATTGTACGGTGATTCAGAAGTGGTAACAGGTTGTAAAAAGAGCCCTTTAAGATCCGAGTGAAATATGTGTCAGCTCTACCTTTCTGTGCTTTTTAGATTCTCTGACCCCGGAGATAGAAGCTGACCGCAGCGGGGGCCGAACAGATGCTGAGAGGACAATACAAGGTAGGAATTTTCAAAAGGCCATAAATCTAGATCGCAGTATATTAGTTTTTTTTCCTCTACTTTAGCCTGCTATTCAAGCATGCAACCTGCCATCTGGGCCACATCAAAACAAGTTCATTCAAGGTCAGCTTCATCTGGCCTTTTTTTTTTTCCCAGAAAAGAAAATTCATTTCATGTGATAGATTTTCTTTAAATTAGCAGGTCATTTCAGATTATATAATGCAATTAGAAGAACAATTAATATGGGACGATGAAGAATTTCATTCAACATGGTAAACACAAATGCATTGCGAGCCACAATGCGAGCCACACATTTTCAGTTTCAAATTTGGCTTAACTAGACAATTTTCAAGACTGGAATGCTTCATAATTTTCCAGTTTTTGAAACAAGCAAAAAAAATGAGAACACTCAGAATTTAACTCCTTAACTGTTATCCTGCACCTGAGTAGATTTCATCATCATTACAGTTATTCATATTTTAATATATAAGTATAGAGAAAGCAAAAAGTGGACAAGTAGCTCATATATTCTAAAAAAATTATTTATACTGGCCCTATTTATCCCTGGGCTGAGGATGTTAATATGAATAATAAATAACAGGGAGACACAAACTCACAAAGCATTTATTTTCCAATTTAAAGGAAGGTAAATTCTTCAAAGACAATCTATAATGATTAACTAGAGTTGTCTTTTCATTTGCATTTTAAAGTCAATCTCTGTAAATGTATCATTTACTGTCTTTTTGCATTAAACCTTAGTTTGTAATTCTTGTGAGGCATTGTGGTTCCTATGCTGTGATAGCATAGGAAAATGTTGAGGAAGATAATAAGCAATGCAATGATTAAACATGCATTAATAATACTACTAATAAAAAGGAATAGATAGTTTGTCTCTTCTTCACACATCAGGAGACACATCGGGGAATTGGCCGTGAATTATTTTGCCAGGTGTGATCTCAATGACACCAGCCAGAAAGGTGGTAGATGGTTTGATGACTCATCATTGTTTCAAATATATTAGCTCTGTACAAACCACCTTGCTCTGAGCCAGTGAGATTAACTTAATTTAACGTTCTGCCTATCAGCATCTCAATTTCATTGAATTTGCCCGCCAGATTGTCCAATTCATATTTTTTTTAATGTTGTTGTTAATCAAAAACCCAGCAGGTATATATTTCTGGAATACACATGCAGACATTTTTGCCTGCCTGCCATTCTAGGAGAAAGTAGGAACATCCAAACAATGTGAACTCTGTTTTTAAGATTAGTTATGCCATCCCATCCCTGACAAAATACGTGCGGCAGGATGGAAAGAGGAGAAAAGGAGACATCCAAATTCACTGAGTTGTAAAACTTCTCTGAGCTTGGATTTTTATTGCTCACTTAGGTAACATCTGAAGGTAACAACTGCAAATGAAAAAAATCAAGCTCAGAGAACTCATACAACCCAGAGTTATCTATATGCTCCACAGACCAAGTTTATGTCATCTTCTTATCTTCTGGAATTTTGAGTCAGTCGCTTAAATGATATACAATGAAGATGTTTTTAATCTACCAATACTTATTGAGACAAAACCTCATATCCAAGACCTTCTAGTTGCAACAAGAGTGAACAGTGAATGTAATTGTGCTTCTTAGATGAAAAGGAGATATAGGAGTAAGAAATAAGCAACTTAACTTGGTCCTCAACACCAATAAGACCAAGAAGCTTATAGAAAGAACAAATCAGACATCCAGCCCTTGCTTATCAATGGAGACCAAGTGGAGCAAGTGGCCAGTTTTAAGTTTCTGGGTGTTACCACAAAAGAGGACCTGTCCTGGGGTGCTCACATTGCAGCCCTGTTCAAAAGGGCCCAGCAGAAATTATACTACCTGAGACTTCTCAGAAAACAACAACTGAATGAAAAACTGCTGGTGATCTTCTACCACTGCACCATAGACAGTATTTTAACTTACTGCACTTCTGTATGGTTTGCCAATTGCACAGTGGCAGATAGGACAGCACTCCAGAGTTAACATCATTGCCCAGAGGACCATGGATTGCCCTCTCTCCTCTTTGGAAGAGCTTTATAGCTCCCGCTGCCTTAAGAAAGTTCAAAACAATCTCAAAGATCCATCTCATCCTGGGCACTCCCCTTTTCCCCCCAAACTATTACCATCTGGCAGACGGTACACAATAATAAAAACAAGGACAAATAGGTTGAAAGACAGCTTCTATCCTAGGGCAGTAGCTCTGTTGAATTCTACTGTATAGTGCAGTATTGGTGCAGTGTCAGGGGTTTTCAATTCAATGTGTGGAGTGTGAAGGATGTGTTTGTGTTTATTTTCATGGTCATGATGTGCACTGAAGGTGTTTGATTTTGTTGTATGAGGTGCAATGACAATAACGTAAACTAAACTAAACTTATTGTGCATCAGAGAAATTTGTGGTGTCCAGAGAGTTTGCCGATTGCATAACGAGACCACCAAATTTCTTCCTCCTTCTCTTTTGACATGAGCAAGATGATGATCATCTAGGAGGTTAAACAGCTTACATGTACTGTTTGTCATAAATATATTCACTATGGAGGTAATGAAACATAAATGTTATTCCTCTTGGCTGTATATAAATCAGAAGGTGATAGGACAGCTGTCTACTTACAGTCATTAATCTTTTGATTCTGAAAAATTGAGTGTGTTAGGAAAGCTTGTCAAAGTGAAGGAAGAGCATTTCATGAGTAGAATGGAGAAGTTTCATAGGAGAAGAAACAGTCTGGAGTACTTCCTGCATTAAATATTTTAGTAACATTTGGGTTTGGTACTTTGCTATTGGCTACTTTTGTTATGGTTTCTTACAATTACTTTCATTACAATTTTGTCATATTATGAGGGGTGTGATGACTCAGAGGATAAAGATGCTGAGCTTGTCAGCTGAAAAGCTGATAACCCAGGTTGGAGACCCAAACGTTGCACAATGGGGTGAGCAACCATCCCTGCCTCAGTTCCTGCCCACCTAGCAATTTGAAAGCATGCAAATGCAAGTAGGGGGGAAGGTAACAGTGTTCCATGTGCCTTTGGCATGTAGCCATGCTAGCCACATGACCACAGAAAATATCTTTGGTCAACGCTGCCTCTCTCAGCCAAGAAACAGAAATGAGCACTGCCCCCTAGACTCGGACATGACTTGGCAGGGGAAAACTTGACCTCTACTCTTATTTTTGTTAATTGTGAGGGATATTTTTATCATCAGTCATTTAATTTCTTATGGTGTCTTTGCATCAGAATAAATTTTGAGAGCAGCCTTGAGAAGGTTTTTTCAAAAGTAGGTTGCTTAAAATTAATTTGCGCTGAATGCCGTTTTCAGATCAACTGATAGTTCTAAGTGAGTAAAAATACACTACTCAAATAAGTTGATTTGGTGTCAAAAGCATAATATGTATTGAAATTTTTTAGAAGGTTTAGAATATTGTGGCTTACAAATTTGAAGTATTTTTGCTCCAGTGCTTCCTGGGCAGAAAATATCCACACATTTAAAATACTCAAAGAATAAAACTAAACTTTATGTAGATTGTAATCTATAAAATTTCAGAGAGTTACCTTCACTTCAACTGTAAAGATGAATTGTGAGGAAGTTGGATGATTCAATATTGATATTTCAGGAGAAGATAGTTAAGTCAAAATCCCAACTCTGGCATAGCAACTTGAAGAACATAGGATATGGATCATCAGTTACAAAAAGCTATTGTTAACTGATGACAAGGTATCAATAAGAGAGTCTTGCTGCCTCTCTTATTGATACTTTGAAGTCTGGGTGAGGATTCCATTTGTGCATTCTTTGATATCTTTTTCAACTTCATGTTGAACCCAATACCTGATGCCTTAATTGTCACAGGTGATTTTGACAACAGTAAAACTTCTTCCAGGGTCCCAGTGTATTTTGTTTTGGTCCTGTTTATCCTTTGTTAATCTCACATCAAATCCTGACCTGCTTAGTATTATAGCAATAGCAATAGCCCTTAGACTTATATACCACTTTACATGCTTTACAGCCCTCTCTAAGTGGTTTGCAGAGTCAGCATATTGCCCCCAACCATTTTGGGTCCTCATTTTACTCACTTTGGAAGGATGGAAGGCTGCGTCAGCCTTGAGCCTGGTGAGATTTGAACTGCCAGATTGCAGGCAGCCGGCAGGCAGCAGAAGTAACCTGCAATGCTGCCCTCTAACCGCTGCACCACCGCAGCTCATAATGGTCCAGCCAAGTCAACTAGTATGCCATCTACTGAGGTTTTAAACCTGAAAATGTCAAATTCATATTTTAGTCCAGTGGAAGAACCAAGTCCCAACAGGCTAAGAGGGATTTAAAACCAACAATGTCAATGCAAGAGGGGATTAAAACCAAAAATGTAACAGCTCTTTCCAATGCAAAATAGCAATAGTTGTTCTTGGAATAATACATTGTTGTTTTCCCCAACAGATATGACATTTCAGGCAAATTCCTATATCTTTTGTAATGGCAGCTAATGGAAAGGTCAACCATCCCACAGTAATTTTGCAAAGAAAATAGATGAATGACGAAATCCTTCAAGCAGGGCACCATCAATTCAGTCCCATTCCAAACTAGTCAAAGTGAAAGGAAATTAAATCTGTAATGAGGACACAGAGGATCATGGAATTTTGCAGTGTAGTGAGAAAAGTTAGAAAAACCAATGTAAACCGCCTTGATTTGCCATGTGCAATGTAAATTTTAAAGGTGGCAATATAAATTTTCTAAATAAATAAATGTGGTGAACTACAAACTGGAAGATTATGTCCCCTTAGGTTCTCAGAATAGGAACAAAAGAAAGATGAATAAAGGTTTCTACTACTTCTAGGGTAGTCCACCTCAATAACTAAAATCTGAAGAGCACCTCTGAATGGATGCAATCCCAGTGACTGACCCAGACATGTGCAGTGTTTTCTACCGTTTTGTGCTTATTCACCCAGCCATTGCTTTATTTTGGCTCTGATAATATCCTCCTGTT